TTTAATATTTTTTCTAAAATGCATTACAAGAAAATTGTTTTTGTCTTTTTAAAATATGAGGCAATGCTATGTTGTTATGTGGGCCTCCTTTTTTAATGAGTGCAACATAAATTATTGCTTCCAAACGAGGTTTATTATATATATTTTTTAAAAAATTACATTTATATGTGAGATTAAAATTAGACTAAATTTATATTCGTAATTCTTTGAAAATTGAACATTATGTATTTTTAAAGATATTTCTCTAACCTTATGATAGCACGTAAGCATCACCATTATTATTTTTAATATGATAACTGAAATATAAGAAAATATAACATTTAACATAATTTAAAAAAATAGTTGAATGATGAACATAGAAATTAAATAATAGACGGGTGATTTAGGAGAAGTTATCGATGGCGGTTCAATAGCATGTCATCGATGAAGGTAGAACCGGAACCTATTACCATGAAGCGTAAAATCAAGAATTGTGTACAGAGTAATTTAGTTAAAAAATAATATAAGAAAACAGTATCGATTTATTGGGTCCTCCAAAGCTAGAAAAGAAGGAACAAAGGATGAAACAAATGGACATTGAGAAATTAAAAGAGAGAGAGAGAGAGAATGATGAAGTTCATGCGAGACAATATATCGTCAGATTTCATGCTTTACTTTTACACCTCCATCTCCTTTGTTATACAAGATACTACCTTAAAATTTTCAAGATTCAATGCTCATTATCAACTGCTTGGTTGACCATTTGACTTGTCAACAACTGAAATGATCCATAAACTTATATGCTTTCCGACATCTCAAAATTCGAGTTAAAATATAATCTTACAATTTAAGATAAGAAAAAAATTATAAATTTAAAATTCTCTAATTTTAATTTTAAACGAATATGAATCGATTGAATTAAACTCGAGTTGTTTTTTTAATTGACTCAAGTGTAATAAGAGTATTATTCAGAACAGTAATGGGTTAAGGTCAGAGATGAAACTACGTGTAATGTGTTAACAATGTCCCTCTCAATTTTGAAGCTAAATAAATTTAAGTCTCCATCTTTATTTTATTAATTCAATTGCTTTTTAATTTCTAGTCACTCTTTTTTTCGGGTACATTTGCTTTTGAAGTGATCCCTGTTTTTTTATTCAAATAATACCTTTTACATAACTTTCAATTTTAGAATTAAAATAATATAGATCCTGATCACTCCATTTTAGTTTTAAATTAACGACTTAACAATTAGACTCTGATATTCATATTTATATTTTTCCTCCTGAAATTTCATCTAGACTTCATTAGTGGTTAGGGTATTCGTCCCTCCAATTAATAATTCATAGGGTAAAATACATTAAAGGTCACTGGACTATGCTCAAATGAGTATTTTGACTATTGAACTTTCAAAACTTACAAAAGGTTAATAAATGAAATTTTTTTCGATAAATTTAATGACTATTTTGCAATAGATCAATAAGTTAAATGATCATTTGATAAGTTTTGAAAGTTTTGTATTTAAAACAATCATTTTAGTATAGTTCGATGACCTCTTAATTATTTTACCCTAATTTATAATCCAAATATAAGATAGTTTTTTTTTTTTTGGAATACTCTAGTCTCTGGGTGATTTTAAAGTAGTATTTGTTTGAAAATTTCTTAATCTATTGACAATGCACAAACTTTAGACGCAACTGCTCAAAGGAATAACCTATATGGAGAACAATATTTCCTTTTATCGGTGAGAGTTGATAGGTTGTATAGAGAGTTTTCTTAAACACCGACCAATAAGCTATTAATTATTTGTCATAAAACCCTATGAATAGCGTCTTGACCATGGGGTTGGGGGTTAAATTCCACTTATTATGGAGAATGGATATCAATTCCCATCATTTAGTCAATTGCATACGCATGCTAATCATGTTATTGACTCAGACAAACAATAACCTCTAAAAAAATCCCAATAATTCCGCAGCACAAGTTGCTTCCGCAGATTTTCCGAGCAAATGGGCCCTTACCTATGTCGACAGATTTCTTGCTTGATATGATCCCCGCCAAATATTCAATTTATAATATAATTCCTTAGTTCAGTTAGACCCGAAGATTCATGTATTACAATGTTACACGGGACTATTAAAATAGTGATCCAACAATTTTCTTTTAAAATTGCTTGTAAATATCTAAAATTTAGACATCCATAAAGTAATATAAAAACATAATAATAATCCGGGTTTACAAAAATGGGGAGCTCCCAAAATACATCCGCTAAATAATACAAAATAAAGAGTTTCAAAAGAGTTACGACTGAATACATAACAGGTCTGTAACAGTACATGCCCTCTAAAGATGACTCAAGACGTACTCTGAAAGGTCTTTGGAAATTTGGATCTGCTGCACTGGAATATCTGATGACGATAGCTCCCCACAATTTGCCCCTAAGAACCTGCGCACGAAAACACATTTTGAATGCAGAGCTTACGATCTTAGTGCCTCATCGAAAACTGTATTATACCATATGCATTCACTAGATGAAGTGCAAGTGGCACAGGTCTGAGTGTACAACTATTGGACTGCTAATATGTGGTTGGCATCATGGTGCTGCCAAGGGATTCTGCATTTCGGAGCTCCCGCACACCTCTAGCATTTCCGAAGCACCATCAGATACTCATGGGTGAGATCCAGAATTCTACATCGGAACGTACACCCGCCGACTTACTCCTTCGAGTCTTGGGGCATCTGCGCCCAATCAACTGATGTAGTGTCATGGCACTAACTTGGATCCACTGATTGTCGTATTTTTGCTAAAAGGAACTCGAGTGTCTTGATTGTTTCTCGAGCGTCAACCAAGGCTAGTTTTATGTAAACCTAGCTATTTATGTTTCTGCTGTTCAGAAGTTAATTATTGTTCTCACTTGAAGTCTTATTTGAGGATATACTGAAATGTTGGGGTACCTCGAGTCCAATTCCCTTAAAAACTGACATTTTTGTCCAAAAGAGACTGAAAGTATCGATACCATCCTAAGAGTATCGATACTCCTGCAAAAGTTTTGATACTTTATATAAGTACCGATACTTTTAAACATTATGTTTTGCCTAGTTTCAAAACTTTGGCCCAAAATATCGATACTCTTGCCCAGAAACTCACGAATTTGGCCAAGAAGAAGAACAAGTTTCATTACTATCCCTCTAGTATCGAAACTCAACCTGCAGAGAACATAAAATAGGTGCAAAAACTCCTATTATAATATCCCAAAGACCTTAGTGAGGTCCCCAAACATTATTAATGTTTTATAAAGATACAAAAGAGCATAAATAGGGCTTTAAACGTGTTCATAACTCTAAAACATGAAATCTACCATGTGAATGCTTCAAGCTTATGCAACCTACTACATTTCATCTAAATGACTTACATATGGTATAGTTGAGTCAAGAGTGAGTTACCTTTAATGCTATACTACTGGAAACGTCAAAGGCTAGGTCCAAAGTAAACTTTTCCTTTCCCTTAGCTTTGGAGCCTTCTCCAACCTCTTGCACTAAACAAAACCAAATGTAAGGGTTACTAATTGTTGCTAGGGATTAAGGAGGGTTTTAAAACACTTCCTAAGGATAGAAATATCAATAACAAAAAAAGGTTTAGAACCATTTAGTTCCTAAAACCCTTCTAAACTCGTTGTTGTAACTATGGTGAAATGAGTGTCTTGAGAGTTTGATTCAAAGCTTGGGATACAAGGATCATGATTTTACCTTTAGTTTACTGAATTAGGGTTGCAAGACTACCAAGTTTCTACTTTTACTTGGTTCTTTGGAGAGGAAGAAAGAGCTATGAAGATGAAGATTTGAAGAGGAAGAAGAGACAAAGATAGAGTTGAGATAAAGAGGGTGTATCAGACATGATATCACCAAGCAATTAAGGATTTCAGACTTAATTTTGAAAAAGGATAAAATTGCTTCTTTGGTCCCTCCAATTCTGACTGCATATTAAAAACACCCTTTTTATTTCACTATTGGGCTCAACTCAAGCCCAAATCCTCTTCAATTTGGGTCAAGGCTTCCACAAGCTAAGGAATTAAACCAAGGCCCATCTCAGATTAGCACAATACTTCTAACCTAAGATTTGGGCGTTACATATACTATACGAATATGTATTATCTTTAACATGATTATGACATGCAAAAGTAATGGATATAAGTTGTAAGTTTCATCATCTAACTTTCTTTCACTTTTATCTTGGTTCACTAAAGTTTAAGATTTTCAATTTGTTCACTTAATTTTTTATTTGTTCCTATTGTAGTCACTCGGGCGTTAAATTAGAAATAGAAGTGTGACACACCAACCTCTTGTGCTTATGTGGACTGATTTTTGTTGACATTGATTTTATTTTATTTTCTCCAAAGATGAAATTTTTATAGTTTCACTCTTGTGAAGAAAATCACCATTCTCCAACATTTTATCCGACCACTCAAGACACCGACGAATTCACTTCATCGTCTCCTACCATTCTGTCTGTTTAGATTTTTCCAAAATCACTTTAAAAGTCATGAAATTCAACTCAAATACCAAAAACTCATAAAACCCTAAACCACTATGATATACAACATCCACCATCCAATTAGCTTGAAATCAAGATATACAACTTGTTTCCTCCTCCTCCACCTCTCCTTGGTTGATATTTGGAAGAATATGTTCCATTGTTAAGAAATCAAAGGGAATATGAAAGGTTTTTTTTTGGGGGGGACACAAAAAATAAGAAAGTTTTGGGGTCATATCACGATTTTAAAAGAAAAATATCTAGTCATAATATTGTTAAGTATTTAATGATGGAATGACCAAAATAGGAACAAGTCAAAAGTTTAGTGAATAAACTTTAATGACTAAAATAAGAGTGAAAAGAAAATTGAGTGAAGAAACTTTTAATTTACCCAAAAATAATAGAAATACATGAATTACTAGTAATAGTTCTCCTCCTATATAAATGCTGCTTATTTCAATTACCATTACACACCCAGTCCTCTGAGAATACAATGTCCGGCAAAAGATCAAGTGGTAAAAGCAATGACAATGAAGATCTCAGCCTCAAACTTAGAGACCTTCTCCCAACTAACAAGAAGAAGAAAAGAAATGCACCAAAGGTAAGATGTTGATCAAGCCCCATACTTGGTTTGCAATGAATGCATCGTGTTACCATCTTTATTTAAATTTGTACATCGATATGCAGCTTCTGGATGAGACATGCAATCACATTAAGAAGCTTAACGGAGAGGTGGATGATCTGAGCAATCGGATATCGGATTTACTGATTTCTTCGGAGGCCGAAAGCAGCATTAATGCAAACATACATGGACAACAATAATCGCTGCAACTTTTGTTCTTACATTTCACTACACCTATATGTTTCAAGTCTTTGTATTTGAGTTGTTCCGGGATATTGTTGGCATCCAAGAGAACAGCAAAGGGTTTATCTTCCATTACTCTAGGGTTTGATGGATGATAAGTTTGGTTTCAAAGGATATATACATATATCAATAGAAAATAAAAATAAATAAAATATATAAAAAATTATTTAAGCAGAGACAACATTATAATTATTATTATCTTAATTATGTTCTGACTTAACTACCTACTTGGACTAACATAATAATGAATTACACTTATGGAAGCCAAAAATCTATAATAATTAGATTGGACTACAACTAACCAAAAGGTGAAATTACTTGAACTTAAGATTAGTAGAAACATAATAAATTGGGTTTTTATATTTAATTTATGTGAGAGATAGAACTAGACCATATAATTTCAATAGGGCTTAATAAAAAAATATGAAATTATATTTCTTTTCCTATTTAGGTGTCCAAATTTTTTTCGGTCAATCTAAGTTTTTAACATTACAAATGTTATTATTTTAAGTGTTTCGACTATGATGATCATTAAAAGATTCTGTTAGTGACACATGTTTCATTTATATAATTTAAAATTTTATTTAAAATAAAAAACTATAAATTATAATTTAAAAAAATCCCAAAATTTTATCAAATCTTAAAAACTCTCTATACCCATGTGGGACGTCGTTGTTTGCATCTATTTTTACCATCAAACCTCCACCCGATCGAACCTTCTCCACACGATAAGATCCTGATGACTCAAAACGAAGAAATCAACTAACCATATGACTTTGGAAAATTGCGACACCCACACAACTTGCTAGCAAGGGTGACGACAATCGACAAGTGAGATGATTAGGGCGACAATGACGTCAGTGGTCGTGGCTAGAGAGGGAGATGGTAAAGTTAAGGTCAGGGATCTTACGAATGATTTTAGTAAATTTTAGATATTTGGATTATTTTTTTAATTCTATATAAATTAGGATTTTGTAATATAATAATATTTCTAAAAATAAAATTTCCAAAACAATATAAATATGACACGTTTTTAGAGGAACTTTTTAACAATCATTACAACTAAAACACTTAAAATGATAATATTTGTAACGTTAAACACTTATATCGACTGAAAAAGAATTAGACATCAAAATAAGAAAAAAATATAGTTTGATTTTTTTTATATTAAGTTTTTCAGTGATAAAGTATTTGTCCTACCTTCTTATGGGTGTCAACGGGGAAGGGTGGAGACGGTTTTACATTATCTAATCTGTCACCAACACTTGCAGGTACGGTTTTAGGGAATCCCTATTATATGTTTCGGGGATTTTTTCCCCATAATCATTCCTTACGAATCCTTGTGGGTTTCGATTAATCTCCATCCCAAAAAATAAACAAATATTTTTTAAATAAATTCAACACCTAAAACTTATAAGATATATCAGATTATCTTAAATTGGTCTCTATCTATAATATGAAAGTTTCAAACGTCAATATTTATCTAACACCCAATGTATATGTACAATTTTAATCATTTTCAATTTCAACAAATCAATGTATATTAAATGAGAAAATATCTAAACTTCAATTTTAGTTCATTTGAGATATAACAATGACAACACGTAATCTCACAATCTTATCATATATAATTTTTTTATTAAAATATATATTAAGGGTATATAGGTAAATGATTATAAATATATTTTTAAAATTTTGTAAAATATCAAAGATTTCTACGGATATTTTTTGGGGATCTTCATGGTTATTCACACGGGTACGTTCGGTCATTCCCATTGTTCAGATATAGCAATCTCCATCCCCATTTCTATTTTAGATTCGGGGATAAAACTTCTCCTGTCCCCATCCCTGTGGGCGAAGATTTTGGTTATTCCCCATCCCATCATTTCGAATCCCCACGATTTCCGATTTTCTCTGTCCGATTGCCACCCCTATACCTTCTATATAAATCAGCTTATGACATCCATTAAACGAATGGATGGATTACGTTAGAAAAATAATAAAGATCTGTTTGGTCTATATATTATATCCAATTCTTAATTTCGTATACGCAACATAGCTTATTGTTATCAGGCTTGATTTCATCACAGAAGTGATAAAAGTAAAATATTGTGTATGAAACTAAAAGAAAAATAATAATTTTTACAACATCGAGAAATTAAGTATAGTTCATATACTAAACAAGTAATTAACCAAAAAAATAATATTAAGTAAAAACAAACATGGTTATTATAAATAGAATAGGTTAATAATCATCATCTATAAAATTATATTTTTCAATGAATAATCCTACAAATTGAAGAAAAAAAACTGTAGATTTTTAAATAAGTTCAAAATAGAAAACATAGAAGTGTACTTACAATGTGGATCCAAATTAATCACCACTGCTATCCTTGGATTAGGTTATTTTATTACGAGAACAATTTATATGAAAAAAATAAATGAATTTACCACACTATTTTAGATATGAAGAACAACTCCATTCGACACTGTGCTGTATGTATCATGATCTTTGTAGACATTAGTTTTTGCCCATTTTTTATTTTATTATTATTATTATTATTATTATTATTATTATTATTAAATAAATTATTAATATTATTACAGGACCAAACCCGAGCCCAATTACAAATGAATCCATACCCAAACCAACCGGGTACCCAGAAGCCCAACTAGGTCCAAACAACTTGACCCGGTCCACAGAACCCTTCTAGGGTTTCAACACTTTCTCCAGCCACCATCAACCATCCACCGTTGGATCTGATGAGATCCAACGGTCCACAGATGCGTCAGATGAAACCCTAGGGTTATGATACCCTAGGGACTACGCCAGTTGCCGCCGCTCCACATCGCTCCAGCAGCTGCCACGCCCCAACCGAAGGCTCCAGAAGTTCCAAGTTCCAACGCCAGCCGTCCACGTTATTTCCCTAGGGTGAGTCACCACTATGGGTTCGATGACTCACCGAAGGGTACTCTATTACCCGGTCCGAGGCAAGGTTCGTGGTGGCTATTAAAGCCACCGATCTTGCGAAATAAAAAAAGCAACAACAAAAAGGAAGCAAGATACAAACCAGAACAACCAAAAATATCAAAACGAAAAATAGAGAGAGGTTTACCGAGGAAGCTGCGCCGCCACCAGAGTCTCTACGTGCCTCCACGCGCCACTGTAGAAGTTGAAATACCGAAGGTATTTATTTAGATCTATGAAAATACGAGACTTTTTAGGGGAAACGGGGGTTGGAATCGGTCTTAGAATACGCAGATCTTCAATTTGGAGGGATTTTGTAATTTCTGGCCACTAGCGGTGGTGGCCAGCGACGGCGGTGACCAGCGGCGGAGTTGGCAGCGGCATATTGCCTGTCGGCGATCAGATTCCCTCCGGCGAGGGAATCCTAGAGAGAACGGGGAGAGTTCTCATCTCTCTCACTTAGAGAGAGAATGAGAAATGAAGAAATGAGAAAACCGGTCTTAAGGCTGGTTATATTCGGGTATTTATAATCTCCCTTGAACGACGTCGTTTAAGGGAGGGACCCTTGCGTAATTCGCGCAGGGGTTAATTATACCCGCAATCACTGTAATTTGAAAACGTTGTAATTTAATCCCGAAAAGCATATTTTAATTTATTTTAATTTGGTATTCAAATTTTAGTTCATTATAATTTAGTCCCTGACATAATTATGCATATTTTAGATAAAATAACAGATTTACCCCTGTAATTTTATTAATTTATGCTTTAATCTCGAATAATTAATTAGGTTAAATCATACTGTTAATCCCTATTTTAACATTTTTCAAATTAGAGCTTTCAAATTTGATATTTTATGTTTTAATCTATAATATTTTAAATAAATTTTATTTTTAATCATAAATATTATATTATTTATTTAATCCTATATTTTTAAATTTTAAATTTTAAATATTTATATCTATATTTTAATATTAGGAAATGATAATATTTATTTATTTTTTAATATTATGAAAGTGGATGTCTTAAAATAACTAAATGTTCATTTCTAATATTTTAAATAATAAAAATCCTACTTATAAAATATATATATTTACTTTAATTTTATAAATTATTTTTAGGAAAAATTATTATATTTTTATTAATATTTATTCATTTTTTAATATTAAGAAAGGAGTTGTCTTAAAGTAACTAGATGTCCTTTTATGATATTTTCAAATAAATAAATATCATATTTATAAAAATCTAAAAAATATATGTTTACTTTAATTTTATAAAAAATTATTATTTTAATAAATTTCCTTAGAATTATCCGATTGAATCTAAAATAACAGGATTATAAATTATATATATTTAGAATTCTTAAATTTCCTCTAATAGAGACAATTTATAACTGATGAGTACCAATTTTGGGTGTTATAGGGGTGCTAATCATTCCCTAAACATAATCGACCACAAATCCTTTTTTATTACTAAAAAGAATGAATTTTTGGTTATACGTAGACATGTTTATCTTTTAAATCATGTTTTCTTAAAAACTATTTTAAAAAATTATTTTTAGGTATTCGACCTATATAACCCAAAAGGTTGATGGCGACTCCCAAAACAGTTTTTAATAAAAAGCATTTATTTATTCACATACTTTTCTCGCTAAGAAAATTAGTGCTGGGCAAAAACCGGTTACGACAGCTTGGCGACTCCGCTGGGGACCCTGGTCAAACCTAAATCGATTATATATTATCTCTATAGTTAGAAATTAAGAATTCAATTTTATTTAATTTATGATTCTTTTGATTTCTTTCAATTTAATTTATATATCTTGATATACTAATATTTTTATTGATTTTCAGATATTAACTTCATTTTTTATTGGTTATTTGTCAAAGGTTTGAGAATTTCTCCTCACACACAACACATGCATTGCATAAACATAAGCTCTATACTTGAGTTCTTTTTCCTTTTAAGTGGGATTGAAAGCAACGTCTTCGTGAGAATTT